CATTGAATATTATGGCATGTAATTTATGATACTATACTTGATGTAAACAATGTTGGTTGTATTTTGATATGTATAATGATAGTGTTGTCTTGTTTCAATTATATACATTGTGAAGATATTACAAGATGAAGTCACGCACAAGCCCCCGGACGTTTCCGCCGTCTGGTTCGGGGGTGTGACATGATGACCTGGTAACGGGATCTAGATGAATCTACTGGGGTGACGCCTCCTCTTCGCGAAATAGATGTCCTAGTTAGCACGATGTCTTGGTGGATTGATTTGTTCTTTCCACCTTGGTCTAGACTTGGGGATACCCTAAGTATAAAAATGACAACGGTTTAATACTGGAATTAGCCTTTATTGATAAAAGAGAATGAAATGTGGAAAGATGTCTAAAAAAATGAAATGATAAGATATGAAATGATATTTATGACATTTATGAAAAGAGTTTTTCTTGAAAATGTTTGAAAAGGTTTTATGGTCTAAAGCTATGTTATGTTATGAATAAATTGATTTTTCATGTAAAATGTGATAAATGTTTTGGGTCACAAACCAGCGTAGCTCACAATACATTTTTGTCTTACGTATCTCTTTTTAATGTCATGTATCTCAGGTTACCCTTAAGGAGAGAGGATGATATATGGAAGTTAGAAATCAAATCATAAAGAATGGAGTGGGACTTGTTAAGTTTTTTATTTATTGTAGTGGTGTAATTCTTATTTGTTTGCTATGATTGTATTGATGCTTAATGGTAACACTCAATGTTTTATTTGTAAATGTTTTTGTGGAACTGTGTTTTTATTAAATACGGATTAATACCCAAAAAGATTTTATAACCATAGCTTAAAAAAAATGAAAACAAAAGTGGGGTGTTACAGTCACCAAGATAACTTAATGTTATATTTTGGTTGTAAGTTTGTGATGCAAAGTCCAAATCAAGTGTTGAAATCACCAATTTAGGATGTATGGAGTATAAATGGAGTTTTTTTTTTAGTTCAAATTCAATAGATCTCTCCTGAATTCCTTAGATTTCAAATGCATCATGTTAATAAAGCTTAATTGTACATTAGGGTTAGGTTTTACCACCCTAAATTCATATCACTAGCGTAAACCAAATTTGACTGTCATGCCATAGTTTGGAAGTTATAATTGAAGATGATGATGTTGATTTCTGTAATTGAGGTATTAGTTATGTTAATGATGATGATTAGTATGTAATTGATGTTTGAGCTTAGTTTTATATCATGCACTATATTATTTACATTATTTTTATTTATGATGTTTATTGAGATTTTGATGGTTTCAATTAGAGGTGAGCAAAACCTGAACCTTAAACCAAAAAATCAAGACCAAAAAACCAAAAGCGAACATAAACCGATGGTTTGGTTTCTACTTTTGCAAAAACCGAAATATTCGGTTCGATTTTGATTTTAAGAATTAGAAAACCACAAAAAAAGCGAACCGAATTGATTTGTATAAATTGCTTATAAATATATTTAATTTACAAATATTATATACAAATTGTGTAATTCTATAACTATTAGTAGCATTATGAGTTGGGTAAGGTGGTGAACATATAAATTTGAGGTACGGGGTTCGAATCCATTTACCTTATTTTACTTGATCTTTAGTTGATGTGGTTTACTCATCCCACATCGATCGAGGTAGCAAAGATCATTTTTACACTCCGGTTATAAATGTATTGATTCATTTTCAATCTTCTATACTATATCACATCTAATCCCATATTGGATATAAAAGCATTTAGTTACTTTACTTTATCTATAAAATAACAATAATGACAAACCTTAAAATTTTGATTTGGAATTCATATTAATTTGGGATAGCAAAACATCTTTTTTTAGTATAAAATTTTATAGTTACGATATGGGTTTAAAAAATGAACAATGAACCACTTTGGTTAAAACCGAAAACCGAAATACAACAACAAATTGGTTTGTTGCGGTTTCGATTTTGAAAATAAAACAACCGATTCTTGCGGTTTTCAGTTCGGTTTTGGTCAAAAAGTCGCACCATACTCACCCCTAGTTTCAATAGTGTGATTTTGATTCATGCAATGATTTTCCCCAAATTATAAATTTAATAAGACAAAACTGCACCATACTCACCCCTAGTTTCAATAGTGTGATTTTGATTCATGCAACGATTTTCCCCAAATTATAAATTTAATAAGACAAAACTGCAAATTTGGTCCTTGTGGTTTGCAAAAATCTTTGGATGGGGTCCAAAAAGTTTCCAGCTTGCATAGAAGGTCCGAAATCAAGGTTTTTGTAGGTTTTTGGTCCAAAAAAATTTGAAATTATCTATTTACCCTTTTAATTTCACTTTTGTATTTTCTTTTCTTATTTATATTAATTATTTATGAAAAAAAAACAAAGAAGATGACCCCCACTCCACCCCTACCGGCACCTCTCTCTCTCTCTCTCTCTCTCTCTCTCGTTTCACACACATGACCAAATGAACTCATTCATCCTTTATCCCACTCTTTTAGACTTCCTGAATCTCCAAATTCACTCCCAATGTCCTCTTCGTCTTCCTCAATCTAACCATTCTCTTGAATCATAATGTTTTGGGATTTCTCAGTAACCATTGTTGTTTGAAATCACAATCTTACATCCAACAACAGTTTCTGGGTTTCAGAAATCCATGATGAGGTTTTCACCTCTGTTCCTCTGTAACCTACCCGATTCGAATACCATTCGGGCCGGGTTTAACTTCCCATTTGATGTTGATCAAGGAGAAGAAGATTTCAAAAGAATCGGGCAAGTCTTAGCCAAGAAAACCTCAAGAAATTCACTCCTAATTGGGGTTTCCGAAAACCTAGAAAAACATTGATTTCGGACCTTCTGTGCAAGCTGGAAACTTTTTGGACCCCATCCAAAGATTTTTGCAAACCACGATGACCAAATTTGCAGTTTTGTCTTTAATAAACTTAATGAGTTTTTAATTGCTTTTTATGGGATTCTTATATTGTGTAAGGATGATGTGAAACTTCATACACTACCATAACGTCTACACCTCGATAATGTTTAGTAGGCTTCTCAAGCCTAACAAGCTAGTCAGTTAGCAAGGTTAGCGGTTCCTTTTGGCTTTTGTATTTAATATAAATGTTTAAACTTTTACTATCAAGATGCAAACGAATAAGATCTTTCCCTAAAAATGGATTTGTATAATTTTTTGTTAGTTTTTATAGATTTTTTATTTTTTTATTTTATAAGTTACAACCGTATAAGTAAATACATATGGATTATTAGATTAAAGGCACAATTTAAATTGTATATGCTTTAAAACCTTTATCATTTTCTCTTACCTTTTTGTCATTGTATCTACTTTTTGGCACTCTATACGTAATTTTACATTGCGTTTTATTATTTATAATTTGACGGCAAGGATGAATTTTTAAAAAGCATAGGGTTCGTTTCAACATTTCATGTTTCTTGAGGGCCTTTTACGTAACCCAATAAAAGACAAGGGTCATGTAAGACAATAGGCTTAAACTTGCTGGTCAGCTTTACATATAAAGGAACCCTAGGTTCTTTGCTTCGTAATTCAGGACTCTCTGCTAATCTAATCAATCTTTCACAAATCGGAACATCTTTTGGATCATCGTAAGTTAATTAGCTCGTTTTTCTTGTTCTTCAATGTCCATTTGATGATTCTTCGATCAAATACACTGTATTAACATAAATTAGGGCCAGAAATGTGGGGATTTTTTCTTGAATCTCACTCGTGTTTGTCCCCCCTGCCTTTTGTCATTACCAACAGGTGTTCGTAAGTGGAGGAAGAATGGCAACAAATGAACAACCCAAGGCTGCTAATGAAGAAGCTAAGATTGATCTGTTTGAAGATGACGATGAGTTTGAAGAGTTTGCAATCGATCAAGGTAAACTATCATTCCTACCTTGGACAACAAGTTTTTTATTTTTCGTACAATTTCATTGTTGTTCTTTCTGCAAAAGTAGTTAAAAGATACATACATGTAGCTTGATTATGGATGTTTTTATTTCTTGAATTAGATATTCTGACAACAGAGATCAATTCCACAACAAACTCTAAAATTAGATATCCGTAAACTCCATATGTCTATCAAGCTTTGATTTTAATCATTTTGTAAGCTACAGCGAATTGAAAACAAAACGAATTATCTGAAAGTTGAAAGGAGTTATGGTGAGTTTTGCTTTTGATCTAAATCATATGTATGTTGTTACAGAGTGGGATGTAAAGGAAGAAGGAAATGAAGTAACTCAACAATGGGAAGATGATTGGGATGATGATGATGTGAATGATGACTTCTCTCTACAGCTGAGGAGGGAATTGGAAAGCAACAACGAGAAGAAGTGAATATGTAATTCCATTTGCAGATTCAGGTGTGATTGTTTTTCTGGTATAAAATCTTGAGTTGTGAATCTTATGCACATTTTATTTTAAAATTGTTGCTTTAACCAAGTGAAGAATTTGAAATTCTTTTGAAATGTTGATTGTGTTTGCATATGTGGGTGATGGAAACATTGTTGTTCTTTTGATTTTGTTCATAGGAGTGTTTGATAGTCAGTTATATGATTATTGAAAATGTTGATTTTGATTTCTTTATAATCAAAATCAATTGTTTTGAGGAACAGCTAGTAAGTTGTGATGAGATCAATTCTTAAGAAAATCCTTGAAAAGCTTTTTACCATCTTTTATTTATTTATTTATTTAAATTTAACTTTACTAGAATCACTTTGAAATTTACAACAGGTTATTGCTTCTATATATTTACGGAGTATTATATTTCTCTATATATTTAGTAATATTTTATTTTACCATCTAATCATATTTATATATTGATTCTTTTATCAAATTTTGACTAGTCATTTCATTGAATATGCAAAATAAAATAAATAAGTATATTTTATTTATTTAATGTTAGGCTAAGTTCTGAAAAGTTAGTTTATTAATAAGTTATCTTAAAATAGTTTTCAAAAAGCTAGCTTATAATTTTATGGTCTTATAAAACATTAAATTGCAATAAACTTAAAAAATAAGTTAGTTTATGTGTGTGAAACATAACTTTATTGATAACTTTATTGAGATGTTATTTAAATTGAATGGAAAGGCCTTAAATTCAATTACCACATATTTCAACTCTGAGGCGATTGCATTGAAATAAATTTTTAGTAATTTTCGAGAAAATCTTACATTTTAAAAAACAAAAAATAAGTTGAGGAAGCTTTATAAAACGTATATGAGGATAAGTTAGTTAATGTAATTAAGGTTGTTTGGATAAAACAAAATTTTTAATTGGATAATTTGAAACGGATATATCCTCTCTAATAAATAAATAATTTTTTGACACATGTCCTCTTCTCTTTCATTTGGACACATGACATTTTCTAGAATTTTTGAATTTTTTATTTTTCCACTTGTCATTTTATTGTATTTTTCATTTTATTAAATTAAAATTTCACATTTAATATGTATGGTAATATATATGTAAGGTATTTATTAGAAAGAGTTTATATATGTATTCAATACATTAAAGCCTCATTAATTTTAATAATTCAATTTTTTTCTCATTTTTCTTATAAATTCAAACTTTTCAAATTGTTAAAATTTCATATTTAATTTTTTTTAAATAAACTTATGTAATACATGAGTCTCACACCTAGTACTATATGATATGGATTATTTTGATTGGTTTGGAATGATTCTGAATGATTATTTTTGTTTTTAGATTGATTCTGGTTATACTAATAAAACCGGATAGTAAAAAAACTCAATAACAAGTTCAGATTCATTTATTAATATTTTAGTTTTAATATATAGTTTAATAATTTCTTAAGTTATTGGAGTATTAAAAATTAATCTTTTGGGATAATTAAAAAAGGGAAATTAAGTAATTTAACCACTTTTTAATGTGTATTTGACGTTTGTTTGTTTGTTTGTTTTTTTTTTTTTTTTTTGCAAAAGTAATCACTTTTTCCGGAATGAAGCATTCTAGATCAATAAAAAATATTTTTTTGGATAACTTTTGAATGACATTACAGATTCCGGACTAAAATTCTAGAATATGAACAATACTTCGAAATGCCTGATTCCGGAGTACTGTTCATATTCTGGACTAAAATTTCGAATTTCGAAAAAAAAACCTTCGAAATTTTCAAGAACAAGTTTGAAATCCAAAGAACAATTCTGGAATTTCAATAAAAAAATCATTTTTTTCTTAATTTAGCAAAAAATTAAACAAACATAATAATATTAATTATATATAATATGAGTGCATAAAATTAAAAACGATGACGTTAAACATTACGAAATGTAGCATTCGGAATAAAAAAAACAAAATAATTTCTTTGAAAATAAAAAATTGGACAAAAAAAACTGAAAAAAAGATGAACAATACTCCGAAATTAGACATTCCGAAGAAAATGGTTATTTTTCACAAACTGAAAAAATATGATTATTTTCTTTGAAAACCTTGTTTATTAGTTTCCTCACTTTCCCATTAAAAAATGACGACAGAACTAAAAAAAAATAACCATTTTTTGTGATTTTCATAAATGACCATTTTCGAAAGCAACCAATTTTCAGATGTATGTGAATATAGTGTGTATATTTCTCTAATTTCACTAACACCTTCTCTCTTGCCACCAACCACCGAAATGTGTAATATTTCCGTTTTTTTAGTCAAGTACATTTTATGCATTTGTATTGCAATCTACTTCGATTTTGGCAAAGTTCATATGTTTTTTGTTAGATTCCTGTCGATATGTAGCATATCGAAGAACATAAACAATATCACAATGTTCCCTCTTAGTGAAGGAATACCTCCCGTTAAAGAGGAAAAAGAACAATTTATAAATCATTTTTTAGATAGTCTCTTACTTGAAATTTCCAGTCGGTTATATTTCAAACCTACTTGACTTATAACTAGGTGTGTAAATTTGCCTTTAAATATGAGAAACAACAAAAGGCCCATGAAAAAGTTATTGGGGAGCGTTTCAATTTTTATAAAAACTCTAAAACTCATCTCATCACCCTCAACCAATTTTGCGTTTTTACCAACTCTGTATAGGAGGATGGAATTGAGTTCTTTTGGGAAGGATGTACGGCCAATACTTTCAACATGTGATCCCTTCCAGTAAAATGGGGTGGTTTGCGGTTTATGTAAGCTACTCAAACAATTTGAACTTTGTGTATTGAATACTTATACTTCTTGCTTTATGACTTGTACCAAAATAATTTTGTATGTTTTTAAGTTAGTTTGTATATTTTTAATATTTTGTAAATTAGTTTTGTGTAATTTTTATTAGTTTGTGTTTAATTTAAAATTACAAATTAAGTGGATTGAATGAGTTGGAAAATATAGAATTTACATGTTTGTGAGTTGAAAAAGATGAAAGAGAAATATGAAATGCAACTGATATGATGATAGGTTGAATAAGTTAGGAATGAATGACTCCCTCTCCCAAATAAACCCAAATGGTAGTAAAATTAGGGTTGTAAACAAATTGAACGTTCGGCGAATTGTTCGTGAACCGTTCAGTGGGAAGTTCACTTATGTTTGTTTATTTAATAAATGAACAAACATGAACACGAAGTCACGCCCGTTTAACTAAACGAACGAACATGAACAATGGGTTCGTTCATTCAATTATGTTCGTGAATGTTCATTTATGTTGTTCGTTTACGTTCTTTTATGTTCGTTCATTTAAGTTCATTTTATGTTCATATATGCTCAATTATGTCTGACTACATTACTATTTTATATGTTTGTTTATAGTCATATATGTTCAATTGTTTTTATTTATCTACGTTTGTTTATGTGCATTCGTTTTATGTTCGTTTAGCATGTTCACGAACATAAACGAACGAAGATGAACAATGTAATTTTTTAAACGAACGAACATGAACACGAAAACCCATTCGTTTATTTGTTCGTGTTCGTTCATTTGTTCGGCTAACCTAAACGAACGAACATGAACAAGCTCTTGTTCGTGTTTGTTCGGCTCGTATACAATCCTAAGTAAAATCAATCCGCCACGTTGTTTTGAATCGTAGTAACATTGATCGACCAATCCTACTATGCTCTTGATTGCTTGAATCAGGTTATTGTGACTATTTCGAAGAGGAAGAAATCACACTCGTAGATGATCCACTTGATCTTTTTGTGGGTTTTGTTTTTTACTGCGAAAATAAATAAATTATGAGTTGATAAATAAAACTCCATTTGCAGAGAATTATAGATTATAATTTTTCGAAAAAAAAAGAAGATTGTTCTTGTCTAAGTTTGTTTATATTATTATTTTTCCATATTCATTGAGTATTAGTTAATTATCAACAATTGTGGATGCTCTTCATTATTTAATAACAAAATGGTATTTTGACATTATCATCTTTAACATGAAAACTGAAAAAGGAAATATGAATTTTGTTTTATTGTGATTTTTATTTATTTAAAACTAACTTTATAAATCCTAAAAGTACTAGGATCGAGTTCGTGGTCTATAATTAACTTACACAAGATTCTAAAAAAAAAAGGCTAATCAGTAATCACTGAATTGACAAGGATAGAAAGGTTCTCATCAAGACCATCTTTTTTGAAATTACGAAAACCTTGTCTTTTACAAAAACGACATCGTATTTCACACAATAAGATATTTACAGTTTTACACAATAGATGCTATTGTAAAACAGAGACGGTGCAGCAACGAAAGTGATGAAAATGACGAAGTAAAAAAGAAATTTACAGTTTTTAGCCAACCCCCTTTGTATTTACTTTTTTTTAATCCTCCTAGAATCATCAGTTGTTCTGTTACCCTTGAAGGCTATCATCCACCAGCTATCCTCCTCTGACTTTACTTCTTTTTCACTTTTCACCTGACATGGACTTTATCTTATCACAACATATCCAATAACAGCTTCTTTTTTTCATTTACACAAAACCAACCAATCTATAACATTAATATTTAAATATATTATAAGTTATATAGTTCAATACATATCGATTGAAGTCAAACGGGCAACAAGCTGTGCCGCTAGCCCTTTCTGGATGGCAAAACCAATTTTTTTGAAAACAACATTTGTGGATCTAGGGGATATGACATTAGAATGCATGACCCGTTGGACTCTATTGAGGAGCTCCACCGCCTCTGGTGCGAGAAAACCAAATGTATCGAATGCAAAAGGTACAAACACATGTTGATTTTCTATACATGCATTCTCGTGCTTTACCACTTTGCACGCAGCGGCTTTCAAAGCGGCATGCCTAGCTGTGAAACTCCCGCTCCCCAAACCAACGAGAGGAGAGACCCCAGTAAGATTCACGCACGCATGCTTCCCTCCTATCCATCCAAAGACCAAAATGTCAGTCAGTCTAAGTGTGGACTTTCCATCCTGCGGGTCCGTCAAAAAGTTCACTAGCGCTTCTTTCTTCACAGAAATATCAGCACGCCGACAAGCATCAAAGAGACCATCCCGAACCACATCATGTCTATACTTGAAACCAGGGAGCTCTCTACAATGAACCGCGTGTTCCCAAAGGTATCCAAACATGCCTTGCGACAAACTGGGCATATCTCGTCAATTGGGAATATGAGAATCATGAGGCGGTAACGAAGGATAGTTCGGTACTCCACATGAGACATATGCTGGCCAAGACCATCAATTGTGATAGTTAACAGAAAATCCTGAGCATGAAGTGCCCGCAGACACTCAAAGACTGCTTTCTGTCTGACAGTAATGTCGAAGTCGACTTCCATATCTATAACTAACATTTGTTTGTACCAAGACAAGAATTTAAATTTCAACAGAAAGCAATTTCACGGATTTAAATTATTTTGCTATACAAATAGCAAATGAATTGTTTTGTTAGTGGGGATCATTCGTAAGATAATTTTGTAAAGCCAAATTCCATCAAAAAAGCCATCTTCTATTTTGACCATTTTATTGATACTTTTGTAATTTTGTTTTTTTTATTGACAAATGTTGTGAACCATTTACCAGAGTACAATAGGTTATAAATAATAATGTTATGACTTAAAAATCTATGAATATTGTTTTTTAAAGAATTAATTTCGTTATCAAAAAAGGGTTAACAATGCAGTTTCTTGTTCGTTTCTTACTTCTATGTAAAACTTTTATTATGTTTCTTATTAATGTTACCAAAGAACTAAACAAATTGACATGTTAACTAAATAATAATAATAACAACCCGCAATAAATAACCTAAACGAGTTAGATAGACCTATCACACAATAGTTCATTCTGTATTATAAGAAATCATTATCCATTCACCAAAAAATTAATATTTAAAATGGACTACAAATCATAGAAGTTGCACAACATAGTTTTGTCCAAAGTCACACTTTATTTTATTACAACAAAATTCAAAACTAATATATAATATCCACAAATATATCTTATTAAATTTTAGAGAATCTCTTATGAACAACATATTTTTTTTCCATTCGAAGTTGAACCCAATTTATACCCCACTCCATCAACACCACAGATGTCAACATGAAGTTTGACTAACCCAACCAAATAAATGAATAAACAAATTAACATAAGAACATATTTTTCTATTTGTACTCCGTCTTTATTGAGGAAAAAAAAACAAAAACACAAACACAAACAGATGCATTCGTTTTGCTACCAGTATAAAATTACAAATCTTATGCATTCATCGTTATTTTCTAAGCAATTAGATGATAACAACATACAAATGAACTCATATTACACAAAATAACTATCTATCGAATCCAATACGATAACTTTGAGTAATTTACAGATTTCATTATCGCACAATTACAAAATGAAAAACCAAACTCTCTAAATATTTTAAATCCAAATCTCTATCTCAATTCAAAAGCATCTTGAGATGAAAAACTAGTCTCCTCTCTTCCCATATCAACAAAAGCTCTACAAATTGGACAAACACCATTCTTGATCAACCATAAATCTATGCACTCACCATGAAAACTATGATTACAATTTGGCAAAAGCTTGCAATTTTCACCAATTTTAAACCTCTCCAAACACACCACACACTGATCACCCATTGATTTTTGTGCTTCAAGATTAAAATCATAAGATGGCAGTTTCTTGATATCTTCTTGTGACATGCTCCCACTTCTGCTTATCATCATCGTACCACTTCTTTGCACCAAAGTACCACTTGTAATGCTTCCAAATGTCCTCCCAACTATGCATACATGAATTAGGACAAAAAGAGCAATTCCTGCAACTAATAACACAGCTGAGAACACAATTTCAATCACCATGTTTTGATCTTCTTCCCCACTTTTTTGCAGGTTCTTCAAGAGTAAAACCCTCGTTTGAACAAGAAAGGTGTTCTTAAATATAGAATATGAAGATGGTATTTCACAAATTTGGTAGGGAAAAATATTATTTTTATCATTAAAAATAATATTTTATTATATACATGATTATTTTCTTTGGGTTGTATTATCACTATGTTCTTTTTATATTAATATATTTAATTGCAAATCGTTTTATGCTTATATAAAGCAATTATTAAGAGAAATAATCGTTCATACAACACTCAAAAATAAAATACAGACGTTTTTGAGAACTGGGTTGCTATTTTAAAATTGAAAAAGATGATAATATTTAGAAAATAATTTAATTTGTCGTTAAATAAGACTTATTTCTCTGAATTATTTTTGTCTATACAGGTATAGTTTGAAATAAATAAAGCAACTTGGAGCTGAAGCTGGATAATAATTGGATGATTGAGGCAAAGTGAGTTAAATAATATGCATACAATGTTGTACCTTATCGTAACAATCAATTAATTAAAAAAATAAACAGTATTTTGGCAGCAAATGTAGATTCCTTCAAATTAATTTATGGTAATTTGTTTGTTTTTACTAATTTTTGTTGATTTCATTAATATTTTTCCAAATATATAAGAATATTATTTTGTCATCATTACTAAGAGATTAGTGATAACAATATAATATTAAATCAAAATTTCCCGGTAAACGGCAAGCTTCGCCTCTATTCCTTTTATATTCTTTATTTTATTTTATTTTTCAGATATTCCCATGATATCTTTTTTTTTTTTTTGGATTCGGCCCAAACAACAACGATTTTACATACATTTATGGTATTTTTGAGCTAGTTTGTTTGTAGTTTTGGTCCCTTCAAAAATAAAAATTAAAAAGATTCAAATCTTCTCCTATATATTTTTTATGTTTTTCTATTTAATTTAAAGTTTTATTAATAATAAATATGAGCCCTCTCTCTCTCTCTCTCTC